TATGGCTTAGCTGAAAACAAGAAAGTGACCATAAAGATAAATCCAATTTTAAAAGGCCAAAATACTTAAAAATTCAAGCAAAATACTTAAAATAGGGAGGGTAAGAGACACTTGCACCAAAATACATCTTGCTCCATTTCAAGCAAACATTAAATCTCACAGAATTAATGCAATCTGTGACCTTGGCATCCGACAGAACTGAAAAGACAGTATCACTATCACTCAACCCTATGCTCCCAGGTAAGCTTTCTGAAACTTGCTTTCCTATTGAGTGTGGCATTTCCGAACATAAAGGAAAAACAACTTCATAAAGTCCCATTTTGCTAAAACTTCCAGATCAAGTTTGAAATATAATTTCAGATGGGGAAAGTTTCAAATGTTAAATACAAACTTCTACTCGCTTTACAATTTCCTCTCAGAGAAGACAGATTTGACATGGCTTAAAAAATTTGCTGAGGCAGTAAGTCAGTAAGAAACATGCTTAGTCTGTATGCAACACTATAACAATTAAGTGGTGTCAAAACTTTCAGGATTATGGATGAGCAAAAGAATAATTTTAGTAAGAATTCGTTCGCCCTAATGATGCCACTGCTACTTTATTATAACCGTACTTAATTGTTACTTCATGCTAAGTCACCTCTAAGAACTGGTTGTTGGGTAAAAGCTCTACTATTTACAGTATCTACTATTGAGGATAACTCAAAAAGAGCAAGATAGTACAAGACGTCCCATTGTCCACTAGATTTCTTTTTTTTCCATTAAGATCTCTGGCTTCTTGGAAAACCAACCTAGACACAACAGGAGCTTGTAAGAGAGGCTGGTAAGCCACCTGAATCAGAAACTAAGGGTTGGTTTTGCTGGGAACGTTACACTTTGTGCTCAGTCCTTGTATTTTGGGTCGTTTTTTTGGGGGTGGGGTGTTGGGGGTTTGTTTGATTTGAGTTTTTTTTAAATATAAGCTAAAAAATGTCTTCAAAGACCTAAGAATTGAATAACGGGCTCCAAGTTTTTCACCCTCTCTTAAAACATTGAGCCCAGTGCAAAGGTATTACAGTTACTTCACCATCTCAGTGCAAAACAATCCATTTCAACTCAAAATGCTGGCATGAGAGGACTCCACCCCTACTCTCCATGCACCTGTTATGACTCAGTCAGTGTCACAAAGTCTTGGGGGGGGTAAACAAAGTATTTCTCTTAATACAGATCTAGCATCTCGGACAATTTAGTCAAAGCTCTGAAACAGTATTAAAACATGTCATCTGACATAAGAAAGTTGATGACACACCAGTCAGCGCAGAAAGAAGTATAATCCTGGATCCATCCAAATGTTCCATTACAGAAAACTAAGAAAAAAGGCAGGGAAATCACCCACAGTTCTCCCAGAGCAACTTGTCAAAAAATAGGGAATGCTACTTCTAAAGCAAGATTATCAGGAATTTGTCACACCTGAAGTGCACATTGACAGCCTGGGGCCAGCTCACACAAACTACACAAGCCTGCCTGCACAGGGGGCAGGCAGCTCTCCCTGCCTGCTGCTGGCTCCCAACAGTGCTCTTGTGCCAGTGGCCATGTGGCTGATGGATGAACAGGACCAATAAGCAGGTCCTGATGAACAATAACCACCATCAAAACAAAAACAATTGGTCTAATGATGCATCATTTCCTCCTCTTCCTTTGCTGCAGTCTTGGCTGCATGGTGCCCTATCACCCCCTCCACTAGATAGATCCTGCACCCAGTCCTTTCCCCAAATTCACATGAAAACCCTCCACCGAGCTCACAAAGAGATCTGACAAGTGCCAGAGACAGCAGTTGTGAGAAAACTTGCCCCTCTAGGCCATGGTTGTCTGTTCTGTAGGCTCATCTTCCCCCTGGAACCACTCTTCCAGTCACTGTCACACCGCATCACTCATTCAGACAGAAAGGAGTATGTGAGAACAAGCACCCAGGGAATGCATGAGTGGCAGAAGAGACCACCCTCCTCAGGAGTAACATGGTCCATTGTTGGATTAAATAAAACTTGCGGCCACAGCATCACACAGGCAGATGATTCTTTTCAGGAGAAGGCAAATGACTATTTTCAAGTCTCCAGCAACACAGGTGGGGACTATGCCCAGCTAATGATTTCCTCACACCTTGATTTCAAGGTAACACAGGCCTCCAGATTCTTTGCTGAGACTTTGCAGCACACTAAGGCAGCAAAACCTAATCTTTCAAAAATAAAGTGAACTTTTCTCCACAGCGTCCACACACAGAAATAAACGGCTCAGAGAAAGGCTTGGTGAACTGATAAAAACTACTGATAAAAAAACAACAGTGGCACAAAAAAGCAGAAGCCAACATTTACATCAGTTGAGGCTATTGCAAAGTCGGTAAGATGGGATTTTTTTTTTTATTCCAACTGCTCTTGTATCCTTTAGGTATTTTTAAAACATTACATATTTCTTAAAGAAAAAAACACTTCTCTTTTGGTTTGGAGCATTTTTTCAGAGAAGCTAAGAAGCCTGAACCAAAAATAACTATAGAATGACAAAAATTCAGGCTGAATATTTCAAGAGAACCTTTAACAGTGATCTGTATCTGCATTTAAAACCGAAAACAGTAACAACCACTGTTCAGCAGAGTCTTGTATAAATAAGCGACAGGCTACCAGTGTGTTAACAACGTTACGCTTCAGTTGGGAAAACAGAAAGTACAAAGTGTTCAGGATCTTCACCTCTAGATAAGGCAAATGTGCCAGTAACAGAAAGGTTACAGGTCCCAAAAACCTGAAACATGGTCCACAATGCTGTATACTTTAGTAACTTTTCTCTGCCTTTTTGGTTCTTCCCATTCAGTGGTATCTTGATGCCAATCTTGGCAGATCCTTTAACGATACTTGTAAATAATTTACTGGATACCTATACAAAGGGATTAGTGTTCAGGAAACGAGGAACAAGAAAGAGTGACAGAGGAAAGTTTGTGTGACACTTAATAGCCTTGAAGAGGACAGCTGTTCACAAGAGAGCACAATCCACACACTGTTAAAACAAAAGCCTTAATATCTGGCATACCTGAAACGTCTTTGGAATTCCTCCAACATTGTAGTGAACTACTAAACTCACTTTGTTGTCCTTCTCCACAATTTCAAAGCTCCCTTCTTTCCATTTTGTAATCCCAGTCTGCATGCTGCGCATCCGGACAGGTCCGTGCACCTTTAACAGAGCCATGCTTTCTCGCAGAAAAGAGCTAACAAGAACAGCTGTGCTCCACCTGAAAAACCTGTTAAGAAGGAGAAACGTATCACTCGGCAGGCCAAACAGTGGCTAAAGAGAGACAGAAGCGTGGCTTGAACTTTCCACAGAAGTTTGATAAAACCGTTTTACTGCCACTTTTAAACATAACGAAGAAGAGCTGGACAGCAGTGAAGGGAACTTAGATTAACAAAATCTCTCCCCGTCTGGGCAGCAATGCACTGATTCCTCGTTGCTGAAAGCTGAGCAGACACAATTCCAGACACAAAAGTCCTCGAAAATCCTTAAAACAACGCCAGCGGATTTAAGGAAAGGAAAAGAAAGCGCCCGAAAAAAGTCGGTAAGAAATGGGAACCAAAGCTTCGGAGGAAGCGCAAGAGGGACAAGGAGCTCCTTTCGGACGGCGCGGCACCCACGGGCACCCGGCGGTGCATCTCCGGCTCCTCCCGTTTCCCGCCCGGGAAAGCCCCGGTGCGAGACACAGCCCCGCAGGTCCCAGGCAGCTCGGCGGGGCGCATTCCCGACAAAACCCCGATGGAATGAATGGAGCGGACCCCGCGCTCAGCCAGGGCGGCGCTA